GTCAAACTTCCTAAGTTTTCCCGCGGTTCGTACCGCTCTGATACCAATTTGTAACACCCCACTTTTCTAACTCTTAATAATCTCTCTAAACAGTCATTAACATAATCTAAGCAGCGGAAAATTAGATGAAAGTAGTGAGGGTGTCACCGCCACAACCATCACTCTTGGTGATTGCACAGGTTAAAGGGGTAAAACTATAACATACGATTAAGTCTGGGCACTAAAGTAAATACTGAAAAGTAAGGGGGAAATACGTCACCCCAAAACAGTCTACAAACATCATCATAAAGTATAGGGTCATAAGTCTAAATCCATAAAGAAATCATAAATAGAACTAGAGTTTAGACAGCTCAGACTAAGAGACTAATCTAACTCGATCTCTTCTCACTGTTGGGCCCACATGAAAGGAGTTTTGCAAGCAACACATAGACAAACATGAAAACACCTGTTAGCACGAAGCTAAGTATAACCACACTCAACCCTGTAAAACATTCTAGCATACACTTTGAAAACATTTGATATCTTTATAGCAATAAGCTAATCTCAAAACATCTTTAGTTTATCATATTCTTTCTAAAGGCTTGCACCCTATAATATCAGTTGGCATGCTTATATATGAATAAAACTAATCACGTATATTCATATACATATAGACTTCTCAATAGCTTATCAAGTAATTCATGCTTACAGATAGGATCATGTTTAAAGATCATATAACACGTGTTCACATGCTATCACACTCTTATCACATAGCTTATTAAGTAGAACTTCTACTACATCACAATAATCATGCTCAAGGAACCTCTCAAGCTGAACTTCTTATTAAACAATCTTTTACGATGTTCTATTCACAAACAATCATATATAACATTATGATCATGCTTCTCGTGCAAACTAGTGCCACAGTATAATCATACTCTTATGCAATCTAGTGCAACATTATACTCATGTTCATATGCAATCTCGTGCAATAATATAATCATACTCTTGTGCAATCTAGTGTAATAATACACTCATACTCTTACGAAATCTAGTGTGTTAATATACTCATATTCATATGAAATCTAGTGTAATAATACATTCATACTCTTATGCAATCTAGTGCAACAATATACTCATTTTCATATGCAATCTCGTGCAACAATATACTCATGTTCATATGCAATCTAGTGCGATAATATAATCATACACTCATATATAAAATAGGGTACTTTCTGTGGAGGTTTCTTTGTTACTTTCTCGAGTCACTCTTGACTCTCGTTCTTTCTATCGAGTCTATATTGACTCTCATAAACGAGTCTCTGTTGACTCTCTCTCTTGAGTCTCTGATGACTCTCTTTCTTGAGTCTCTGTTGACTCTCTTTCTTTCTCTTATACTCGTAGACGGCTTAGGGTTTCACAGAAGTGTGACTTACCCCATCGGGAACGGCATAATTCCTACCCAATATCTCCTACCGTCTACGGAACCAATCTCGTGGTTCAAACTCTGTGGAATCAGGTATCGAACTATTAGTGTGCACACCCCCTAACCAGGATTCCAAGCCCGGCGGGAAGTTTCCAACCTCGTAACGTGGGAATACGCCGCGTTACATACTTTGGGACCGCAATGTCCATAAATATCTCCCGAGAGGAATATAGTCCAAACGGTATCCTCCAAAATCTCACCAATATAGATAATACATAAATATATCTCTCATGCATCAATCTCATGCATGCAACAATTCTACTACTTCTCAATGCATCAAAGAATGATATACCACATGCTTATGGTTTTCAAAAGTATTCTTGGACTCACGTTGGCCCTTTATGCATTTTTGAAATATGACTCATGTGAAATTTCAAATGCTCTATAACATGCTTCTAAATCATGTATACATTAACAAATATGCTTGACATATTTGGCCCTCAAAACTTGTCCAAATATGTCAAATTTTTTTGGACATATTTGGCCCTCAAAACTTGTCCAAATATTTCCAAAACAATCTCAACAACTCATAAACACATACCAAAGCATTTCTAAGCATAAACACATCAAAAGCTCATAATTTCTACTCATTTCTACTCAAAACTAGGCTTCACAGAGCCAAATCTAAAGAGGAATCCATGGGTTATACCTCTTGTAGTCTAGACTTCTTGCTTGGATCTCTTCTTCCTCTTGGTCTAGCTTGAGCCTCCTTCACCACCTACACTTCCCAACACACCTTCTATCCTTAGCCTATATTCTTAAAGACGAAAGAAAACTAGAAGGGAAATGATGCTAGAAAGGAGGATGAACAAGCTTACTAGGTTGAAGCTTTTCTCCTTGGATGTTGGCAGACAAATGTGAGGAAGAGGCAATGAAAATGAGATCAGGAAAATGTGATGGAATGAAGGGTTTATATAGGGTTCAAAACCCTAAGATGATACCCAATGATTGGTTGAGGGTAAAGGGGTAATTTCCCCAAGCTAAAAGATGACTTTATAAGAGATTTTTGGATGTCTTGTGGTTCACCATGTATCATGAACCATAGGCTAGAAATGATATTTCTTAATTACTTTGGGGTGGAAAGTGAATTTTCCTAAAAACTATATGGATGAACACTTGTTCAAAATTTCCTTTTTAATTCTCCCCGGTCTCACTCGGGTAAAATTCTCGATTTAAATCTTGGTACGCGAAGTACCCGAAAACTTTGGAATTTTCGATTTAAAATTTTTAATAGGATGAAAAAACTACTTTGAAATTTCTTAATACTGGATTTATAAAATAAAATTTTGGGTTTGTTACGATATAATTGTCATTGCAAGGGACAAAGGATAATAATTGTCAATGCCTGTGAGAAGGATGACAACAAGAGTAGTGGCATGTGCCATCTGAGGAATGGAGGAAAGAAGGGCTCTCGATGTCAACATGGGTGTCATTTGACGGTGGTAGAACAATGAAGGAGTTAAGGTTTCAGTTGTGGGAAATGATGTATTGGATGAATGTTGGGACATGATGAGTATTTATCAAAAAGAAGAAAAAAAAAAGCTTCTGATACCACGAAATGCACTGTGTGCATAGAGAGAGAGAGATGAAGAAGAGTAAGCAGAAGAATAAATGGAATTATAATATATTTCCCATATGTGATAATGAAAAACACAAGTAAGAGAGATATATATACAAAACAATATAACGGTAAAATAATGAATAAAGGAAATCTACGTAATATCTAGCCTATGTATATGGAATGGATATAATATATATAATCCCTAATTATGTATGGAGAGATTAATAGAATATATTTTCTATATTTAATCTTTACATCATCCATCTCCTTTATATTAATCAAATACTATATATCAATCTCCAATGGCCCTTTTCAGCAAGGACGGAGCCAAAGGGGGGGCAGGGGGGCAGCTGCCCCCTCACCCCACCCTCATCCCATTTATAATCTTTATATGTATATTAACCAAGTCATGGCATTAGTACTTTACACATTTTTGTCTAGGGCTTTGGATCAATACATTTTTATCCAAGTCATGTCAAAATCACACATATTTGCTATGTCTCGTGCTAGGGATAAAACTCTACTCTTCAGTAACTTCTGAATAATCTGATGAAGAGAGGATTGTAAAACTCTACTCTGCTTAGTAAAATAGTTAGCTTATCAATCAGTTTTGGTTTGTTTGATCAATATTAGTGTTTGACTTGGCTAAAAACCAATATGAGTGACTAATTAGCTTTTGTATTAACTTATTTCTCCAAAATACAAATTCAAAAAATTGCTCAAACTGCTTTTTGATAAAGTCATTTTGTACGACGTAATCAACTAACAGTTAATTTACCAACAATCAGCTAATGTTATCAACTAGTCAAACCCACTAATCAATCAACTAACAACTATTTACCAAACACACTCGTAAGCTTTTCCGTATGACATAAAAAAACTATTTCACATTGAAGGTAATCCAAAATTTAGCTTTACTCATGAGAAAGTATTGCCAAAATGAACCCTATGAGCTTACAAATCCTCTTTCATGCATTCCAGTATTAGTAATGTCCACTGCGCTATAGATGGTCTTTGAACTGCGATCTGTCTCTTTAGTACCAGATAATGCAGCATATATTTCTTTATAACGATCACACCTTTGCTGAACTAATTAATTCTAAGCCCACATACAGGACCCCCGCCCCCGGGAGGTAAGCCGCAGAATTAGCCCACACGCACAAGGAATCCAATTTATACCTTCCATCATCTTTGGACTTTTTTCTCATACATATTTCCAACGGTTTTCCTCACACCGCCGCCTCCCGTCAGACGACAAAGCTAAGCCCCCGGCCCTGAGGCATTCCTATTATTATTTGCATTATGTCAAGATAATATTTCATCAAATTATTATTATGCGTTTATTTACTTATAATATGAGGGTGGGGAGATTGTAGAAGGGAAATTTTGGACACTTGAACGCCCCAGCATGAGCATGGATGCACTTGTAAATGAACCGTTCTATTTTGCTTTTTGTTATGCGTTTATTAATCCTCCTTGATTAACTATACATCTTATCTTCCATTTTTAATTTTTATTTCTATGCTAGCCCTCTTTCATTTATATCATCTGGAACAATATTATCTACACAGTATAATTTATTTATGAGACACCGTTATCTCTCACAAAAATGGATTTTTAAAAAAAGTGAAAAAATAATAATTTTTTAACTCTTAGAAAAGGAACAAAATAAGAAAAATTATTTATTAATTAATTTCATACTTAATATTTTATAAGCCTTTATTACTTTTGATGTCTTTCAATGATTTAAAAATAAATAAATAAATTTTGTGATAAAAATCTTATTCAAATTTGACATAAGGATAATTTAGGCTTTTGAATTTTTTTAAAAGATAATTTAAAGATAATACATTTTTACTTAGTAAAAGTAGCTATTATTTAGATCATGATAGTTATCTACATACTTCAATTCCTTCTTATAAATAGGGGAATACTAAAACAACAAATTCATTCCAATCTTTTCTTATTCTTATTCTTCTTTGGTAAAATGGCATCTTTACTCACTAGTTTCATGGCACTTGCTCTCACTATATTTTCTTACAATTTACCTTTTTATGATGCTTTACAAGTTACATATGATAATCGCGCCTTAAAAATTAATGGTCAGAGAAAACTCATCATTTCTGGTTCCATTCACTATCCTCGTAGCACAGCTCAAGTATTTCTCAATTTTGTTATATACTCTATTAAAATAATTTTTTTAAATATTTTTTTATATTGTTAATATCTTAAATTTGTTTATTTATATAGATGTGGCCCTCTTTGATCAAAAAGGCAAAAGATGGTGGCCTCAACACTATAGAAACTTATGTTTTTTGGAATGCTCATGAACCTAATTACCGAGAGGTTGAAATTGGAATCTTTTTAATATTTTTTTAATAATTAATTTGGAAATATGTGTTTATATATAATTTATTTTTAATGTTTACTTAATATTACAGTATGATTTTTCGGGAAATAAAGATTTGATACAGTTTCTCAAGGCAGTAAAAAATGAAGGGCTTTATACTATGCTAAGAATAGGTCCATACGTTTGTGCAGAATGGAATTTTGGGTAAATGTCAATCATGATATTTGTTTCATAAACATTATAAATATTTAGGAGGTTTTAAAGTCCTGTAATGTATTAAATTTCAGAGGATTTCCTGTGTGGTTATACAACATGCCAAACACAACTTTCAGAACCAACAATGCAGTATTCATGGTATTATTATTGTTCTTGTTGTTGTTATTGCATTTCAAAATTTTTAAAAATTGATTTTTTTGCTCAGAGGGAGATGGGAATCTTCACAAAGAAAATTGTAGACATGGTAAAAGGAGAGAAACTTTTTGCTAGCCAAGGGGGAAATATTATCCTTGCCCAGGTAATGTTGCCATTTTGATTTTATTTTTTTTTTGAATTTTTAATCTTTTTTTTTTAAATTCTCACCTCAAACTTAAATATTTATTATTATAATTTTTTTTTAAATAATAGATTGAAAATGAGTATGGGAATATTATATCGCACTACGGAGAAGAAGGAAAGAAGTATATAAATTGGTGTGCGGATTTTGCTCTTCTCTAATATTGGAGTGCCTTGGATCATGTGTCAAGAGGATGATGCTCCCAAAACTATGGTAATTTTTATTTTTTAAAATTATTTTTATATTTTTTTGGTAATATAATTAATATATATTTAGTTTAATTTCCTTGGTCAAAAATGCAGATTAATACCTGCAATGGATTTTATTGTGATCAATTCTGGCCTAAGAACAATAACCCTAAATTTTGGACTGAAAATTGGAGTGGCTGGTTAGTATGCTTTAATTTTATTTTGTTTATTTATCTAATTAATTGAAATTTTAATTACACTTATAATTTTGATTAAAAAATATGTAAGGTTTAAGAACTGGGGTGATGAGACCTCAACAGACCTGCCGAAGATCTTGCATTTGCTGTTGCTCGTTTTTTCAATATGGTGGATCTCTACAAAACTATTACATGGTATGGTGTAATATGTATTGTTAGGCATAAAAATTTGTCTATTATTACTTCTCCGCTTCCCAAATTAACCTACTTTCTCATCTTTTAGTACCATGGTGGAACAAATTTCGGAAGGACATCGGGTGGACCATACATTGCTACAACATATGACTACAATGCTCCCTCGATGAATATGGTAAAGTTTTAATTACCAAACTTTAATCTGATCTTATTCTGATCTATTGATACTAATGCAATTGTGGAAATGATTTAGGCAATGTGAACCAACCAAAGTGGGGGCATCTCAAGGAACTCCATAACCTTTTATATTCATTG